ATAATCTACAACATTCATGGGGTGTGTAAGGTGTGTAATTGCAAAAACTGTTTTTCACAATAAATTTTACCCCACTATGAATTTTCCCCCTCGAAGAATTTTCCCCCACGATAAATTTTCCCACGATGAATTTTCCCCCACGATGAATTTTCCCACGATGAATTTGCCACGATGAATTTTCCACGATGAATTTTCCGGACACCTTTTTAAAGTGATTGAAATCGTGTTATACGAATTAGAATGTTTAGACAGTTTATATTGATTTGAGTGAAGGAAGTTTGATTCATGGCAGACCGTTAGTTTCAATATCTCGATCGTCTTTCCACTGAGTAGTGTGATGTCAGGACGCCGTGATTGGGAGAGACAGGACTGTGGTGGGCGGATCACAGACCACACGCCAGCGAATCCTGAAACTCCTGGCCGGCACATGACTTTAATTTATTCACAATTATCTTCAAAATTGTTGTGGCATGTGATAATAATAATAATAATAATAATAATAATAATAATAATATAAAGAATAATAGAATCCATTGCACGTTGAGCAGGTGCCCTGGACGGCAACAGGCGGTCACGAGAAGTATTCCTTCGATTATGATAATGTTTGTTTGCCATTTTTTTTTCAATTTGATATTTTCCCTTTAATCACATCATCACACTCACCGTACTTATCAGCTTTTTTTTGACTTCTGATTTATTCTCCATGCAAATTTCCTGAAATTTTACTTTGAAAATTACGGAAATATCTCCAAGAATTGACATTTAAAAGATCGTTTTTAAATAATTTTAATCCAATCTAACTTTTTTTTTACAAAAACCATTGACGTCAAAATCTGTCTGTCTACTGACTGATATTATTTTTCGTTTTGTTTTTGTGAACACCCTCAGGTGTGTTTGATCTTCAATGCCGGTGAACTGAACATTGTGGAGTATGGTCGAGATGAAGTGCTTGGTTCTGTTAGGACTGAGTTCACCAACAAACATCTCATTAGGTTGCCTACGTGTTTCGTTGTTGTTGTCGTCGTTGTTGTTGTGGTGGTGGTGGTGGTTTGTCGTTGCGTGTTGTGCTTTTGTGGTTTGTTGTAGTTGTCAATATTAAATTTTTTTAATTGTGTTATATATACGTTACCTTAATAGGGCAATATATGTTAAGATTGATTTGTAAATTGTTTTGTTCGTCACCTTCAACATAACAATTGAATAGATCACAATGAAGAGTGTGCTCCTCAATTGTTCTCTCTTTTCAAATTTCAATATGAATTTTTTGTTTGATTGCGATTGGTGGCAGTGTGCGAATCAACGAACGCAAGAGTAACGACAGCCGACAGAACAAACGACTCGCCTATCTGATCGATCTCAAAACAATCGCAATAAGTTAGCTGCTGATGTTGCTCGTGATGACAATGTTGTTGTTGTTGTCGTCGTCAACGTTGTTGTTGTTGTTGATGATGGAATTAATGATTGGGCTGATGATTACATAAATTATTTGTTATTCAGTCGATTTGGTATCCGGTTCAACTCTGGGAACAGTCAGTCATGACCTGAAGGTCGGCTGGCTTGAGGTACTTTTATTCCACTTGCTTCGTTGAAAATTTCATTTCTTAAAATGTGAACGATAGTTATCTCAGAGATAGCTATTATTTTCGTATCACAACTGGCTTCAATATCGCCAACGTGTTGTTCTTTTTACGTACAACTTAATCCAACACCGATGTTGCTTTTGCAATCATGTCCGTAATATACAAGTCTGTTTGAATGGTAGTCCGTAGACATGTCAAAACTGACGACATTGAGCAGGTTCAAATTCAAAAAGCTGATTTATAAGTCGATCGTATGGTCAGGTACGGCTCTTAAACAAAACAATATAGTAATAATAATATAATAATAATAGTATAATAATAAAAGGTTAAAGGTTACTCTCTCTCTTTTGCGTTTGCTTCAGAGGTTTCAACGACAAACACACACAGCGTATATGAATACGCGTGCAAACCACGCATCATACACATTGCATATGATAGGTGGGCATCTCTTTGTATTCGAACCCGGTCATTGCAATAGCAAGACCAGGCGCCTTTAACCATTGAGCCATCACGCCGCCCTAATGATAATAATAATAATATAATTATCGAATAGATATGTATGTGACATCATGTAAATTATTGCATCATCATTAATCATCGTCGCCGCGATCATCATCACGGTTTTCATTATCACAACTACCATTGCACCTTCATTGCTTTGTAGTTGAATGAGACAGGGCACAAGCTGTTGTTCAGAGACAAAAAGTTGAAGGTACTTGTACATCTTTTCATAATTGTATGCCATTTTTAATTTTCATACTTTTTCAAATCTTACAGTCGAATAAAATAATTTGCCTACTACTCATTTTAATGCTTTATGAGACACTTAATTTTAAACACTAACTGTTATCATTCTTCATTTGTTCATCCATCCATCCATCCATCCATCCATCCATCCATCCATCCATCCATCCATCCATCCATCCATCCATCCATCCATCCATCCATCCATCCATCCATCCATCCATCCATCCATCCATCCCTCCATCCATCCATCCATCCATCCATCCATCCCTCCATCCATCCCTCCATCCATCTAGTTGCATTTGTATGATGTAGGCAGCAAGAGCAAAACAACCATCCTCAACTACTGCTCCTACGTTCAGGTTCAGCTTGCTTGCTCAGCAGCTCCATAAACTGCTTGCCCTTTACAGATGTCAACTCTCGTTTATAAGGATTTTCAAAATTTTCAGTTTTAACTACTAATCGCAGAAGTTATTGATTAATATGGAGGGAAAAACAAAAATTTAACGATTCTATGATTTTCAGAAATATTACATTTATCGATTCATTTGTAGATCATTCAGAAACTACCATAACAACTCTTTAATGTTTACGTTGCAACTTGAAAACTTCACCAGTGGGTTCCCGGCAGTGATGTTGTGGTGGCTCAGAACAGGAACAACTTGTGCGTCTGGTACAACATCGAGGCGCCTGACAAGGTCACCAACATCTCCATCAAGGTCATCACACTTCTGTTCTGATTAAAAATAACTTTTGCAAATTTTTGCTGTTTCTGTAACAGTGCGATACAATTTTAATTCTTCATCCTGATAATGTAATTGCTGTTGCTAATGATGTAACTCCATTTTTATATCATTTTCAATTATGTCTGGACTGTGTGTGTCTGGACAAAGAGAATGAATTTGACAGTTTGCAAATGAATGAACGTGAATTGACTTGATTTGAGTGAACCTGTGTAAACTTGAATGAACCAGGGAGATGTGACGGACATAGAGAGGGTGGAGCACGTGACGAATGTGCTCGTCAGTGACGGGGGCAGTGCGGTCAAGAGGTACAAGCTGGATGAGTCACTCATCGAGTTCAGGACTGCCATTGATGATGACGACCTGGCCAGGTTGGCTGGTCGGCGGAGGTGGTTGATGGATTGTAGGAGCAATTGATTGATTGATTGAAGGAGTGAGTGATTGATTGAAAAATTGAATGATGAATTGGGAGAAAGGATAATAGATTGAAAGATTATGTGATGGATTGAGGAAGTGAAACGGAGGAATAAAGAATGAATGATGCGTGAATAAATGAATGAATGAATGAATGAATGAATGAATGAATGAATGAATGAATGAATGAATGAATGAATGAATGAATGAATGAATGAATGAATGAATGAATGAATGAATGAATGAATGAATGAATGAATGAATGAATGAATGAATGAATGAATGAATGAATGAATGAATGAATGAATGAATGAATGAATGAATGAATGAATGAATGAATGAATGAATGAATGAATGAATGAATGAATGAATGAATGAATGAATGAATGATGAAATGGAATTTATTGAAATTGAACATGATGCCTAAATGAGGGTTGTTATTTGTTCATTGCTTTCCAACTTTCTGCTTTTTTTAATTTCTGGATCACAAATTATTGTATTGACATTAAAGAAATGATTCAGCAAGTAATTTTTAACCAGCAATTGAAATAATGTTTAGTATTTTGGATCGGCGGATCATGAACTAGCAGCTTTTCACACGCGTGTGTTATGCGCTAGAAATTTAATTTTGTTTCTTATTCACATACATTTCCAGAGCCATTTTATATTTGGAATCTTTGGATATGACCAGCGAAACGGAAGCTATGTGGCAGAAGTTAGCCGCCGTATCCATGGAGACCAACCAACTCAATGTTGCTCAGAGGTGCTTCATTCATTTTCCTCTCCACTTCCTTCCTCTTCTTTTTCCATTTAGTTATTTATATTTACATGTGATGATCGCACGACGTGATTGGGCCAGTGCCATCAACTCGTCGTCGTCCCCACGAGCCAGCATCTACACATCTACATTAACAAATAAATTACGTTTTCACGCAACTGTGTGTGTGTGTGTGTGTGTGTGTGTGTGTGTGTGTGTGTGTGTGTGTGAAAGCTTTCATGGTCCGACAGCATACGTAATTTTGCAAAAATGGACAGGAATATTCGGCCATATTGACAAACACGTACACACTCATTTATATGGTCATACACGCACACATACACATATACATTCACACATACATACACGCACATACACACACGCACATACGCATTACGCCAAACGTTTGCAGATGTTACGCAGCCCTTGGTGACATAGCTAGGGTGAGGCACTTGGATGAAATAAGCAACATTTTAAGAGATGAGGCCGTTAGTTACTGTGGTCATTCAATGTTCTTCTTATTAGCGTTTAATGTTATTCTATGTTGTTGATGTTATGAGTGTTGTTGTTGATTTTATAATGTGTTGTTACTGATGTTATTAATGTTGTCGTTGATGTTATTAGTGTTGTCTTTGAATTTTATAATGCATTGTTGTTGTTGTTGATATCATTAGTGTTGTTGTTGATGTCATTAGTGTTGTTGTTGATGTTATTTGTGTTGTTGTTGATGTTATTAATGTTGTCCATGCTATTTAATGTTGTTCATGTTATATAGTATTACCTATTAATGCATCATTGTCATCATTATCGTTATCATCATCGTTATCATCATTATCTTCTTCTTTATCATCATCATCGTGGTCATCATAATTATTCTCATCATCAACAACATAACTAATAACATCAACTACCAACAAAACATCATCATCATCACCATCGCTAACAACAACAACAACAACCAGGGTAGTGAGGGCATGGAATACTACAAGGTCAAAGCGGAACTTGCCATCATGCAGAAGAACTTCAAACTGGCTGAACACATATACCTCGATCAGGTAGGTGCTTGTCACGTGTCTGATGATGATGATGATGTTGTTGTTGATGTTGATTATGATGATGTTGTTGATGATGATGATAATGATGACGATGATGATGATGATAATGATGATGACGACGACGACCGTGATGATGATGACGATGATGACGATGAACGTCGCCATCATCTTCCCAACTAAGAACATGGTTGATGAAGCAATGAGGATGTATCAGGATATGCACAAGTGGGAAGATGCTATCTATGTGGCTGAGTTGAAGGTGGGTAGGTTGGCTTGATGATGATGGTGATAGTGAAGATGATGATGGCGATGATGACGATCATTATGATAATGTAAATGATGATGATGACTGGGGTGATGATGATGATGCTGACGATGAGGATGACGTTGATGATGATGAAGATGGTTATGTTGTTAATGATGATGATAGTAACATTGGTGATGAAGTTGATGTTCGTGAAGATGATGATGATGATGGCATGACGGTGATACTGGCTGTGATGTTGTGACGATGATGATGTTAATGATGATGATGAACCAGAGAAGGAGAACGTTGATGATGCGATGTTGCTAATAACGATGATAGTAACTGTGGTGATGATGATGCTGATGGTCACGACGATGATGATGTGATGAAGACGATGATGCTTTGACGTTTAGGTTGTTGTTGGTGGTGGTGGTATGGCGATAGTGACGTTAACGACGATGATGATGATGATGTGAGGCTGTTGTTGGTATGTGTATAATGACGATAACATGCCGATGACGTCATAATACTATGACGTCACTTCAGAACCATCCAGATATTGAAATGCTGAAGAAGAAGTACTACCTCTGGCTGATGGAGACCAGGCAGGAAAGCAAAGCTGGAGACATGAAGGAAGGTAATGATGACGTTGACGGTGATGATGGTTGTGGTAATGAGGATGTTAATCCTTTCAGTTACGACGTATTGATAATAATGATAGCAATAGTGATAATAATAACAATAACAATAATAATAAGAATAAGAATAATAATAATAAAAACAACAATAATAATAAAACAGACAGTTTGTATCATAAAATATATCAGCCACTAAATGGATAACAGCATTACATGATGACACTATAATAGAAACATATGGCTTATTTAAAACATTTGCTGTCGTCAGCAATGTTTTAAAATTAACTTTCGAGAACGTATTGAACCCCAGCTGAAGGCAACTACGAGACAGCTGTACAGCTCTTCATCAAAGCCGGTTTGCCAGCGAAAGCTGCAAGATTAGTCACCAGCCGGAGCGTTAGTCGCTGATCTCATTTTAATATTTATTATATTTATCAGCTATATTTATTTTTAAAATTATTTGTTTATTAAATTAATTAATTATTTATTTATTTTTATTACCTTTTCACGAGTTGGTTGACGAATTAATTGATTATCAGTGTGAGAACTGCTTGAAATCAACTTCATCATCACAGGATCTGCTGAACAATCCGCAACTGGTCAGCACAGTTCTCAGTGCCCTCATCAAGTCAGAGATGCATGACAGGGTGGGTTGATGGATGCATGCGTGGATGTCGATAGCTTGCTGAAAATAACACCTTGAACTTTTTAACATAAAACTGAACCATTCAATATTCAGGCAGGGGACCTCTGTGAGCAGCTAGGTAGGAGCCAGGAAGCTATTGAGTTGTACAAGAAGGGCGGGTGCTTCAGGAAAGGTGCTCCGTAATTTTTACCACAAATTAATTAATTATTTCTCATTAATTTATTCATTCGTTCTTTCGTTCATTCGTTCGTTCGTTCATACGTTTATTCATTCATTCATTTGTTCGTTCGTTCATGCATGCTATGGTTAGTTTGAATAGAATCGAGAAAGCAATAGAAATGTTTCTTGATAGTCACATTTATTTTATGTACGGAGCATTAAGGGCTGAATGAGACGGGCAGAAAGCATGCACAATTATTCAAATTCATTTACATTTCCGTTTGTATTTAACAGGATGATTGTTTTCATTTTTTGTCATTCATACTTTTTTCATTTTAGGTAGAAGTAAATAAATTAATTATTTTTATTTTATTTATTGAAAATTGTTTAAAATTATTTAAAATTAAATTTTTTTCAAACTAAAATTGAATTAAATGTAATTGATTGAAAACTCGAAACCGAAAATGAACTTGGCAGCTGTTGAGTTGACGCGTGAGACGAACCCTCAGATGGTGGTGAAGTTGGAGGAGGAGTGGGGCAACTATCTGGTCAGTCAGAAGCAATATGATGCCGCCATCAATCACTTCATCGAGGCGGGGTTTGTTGCTTTTTAACTTGCTTTCGTAATATTAAACATGGGAGGCTACTACGTCTCATCACAAGTTTATCAAGTTGAATGAATGCCCGCCAAATAACCATCCATTTGTCTAAACAATCACCGAACCATCAAATTGATCAGGTGTACCATGAAAGCAGTTGATGCCGCCATAAATTCGCGCCAGTGGGTGAAAGCCTTGGAGATTCTTGATGTTGTCGAAGATAAGCCTGAAGCCAAGAAGTATTATCTGAAGATTGCTCAACACTATGTTCAGGCTGCTGAGTATGAGGTCGGTTGTTTGGTTATATAGTTGGATAGTAGGGAAGTTGGTTGATTGGATGGATGGATGTTAGATTGGATAATTGATTGATAGTTTTAATGGTCAAATGGATGAGTGGTACTTTGTATTTATATGTATTATTAGGTCGGCGTGTTAGCTCTGCCGGTAGAAGTGCCATGTCTCGTGCAGTAACGAGATGGCCTAGTTCGAATACGGTCGGTCCGAAACTCAAAGACCATCATACGCCATGCGTGTGTGAGGTGTGCGTGTACGTTGTGGGGTGTGGATGGTAGGTAGAGCCTTTGAGGTGCGGAGGTTTAAATGCCGTAAATGATATGTAAGCAATTTAAAGTGAGAGCTGCTTGATAAGGGACCAAAAAAGTATTTGGCAGTTGTATTTTTTTTTGTTGTTTTACGTTCTCAATTATGTTTTCCGATATTTAATTGATTGCAGCAAGTTATCTATTGCGAAGTCGATTTCAATGAAATATAATTTTTCTTTGTTAATTTCTCCAACTGCAGCAAGCAGAGCGTTGTTTCACATCTGCTGGCTGTATGAAGGAGGCCATCGACATGTACAACAACGCTGGCAAGTGGGAGATGGCTCACAAGGTCTGTTCATGGCCGCGTGCACGCATTCAACTTGCCTAACTGCAGTTGTATTATTATTTGTGTGCTTGTTTGCATGCATGTTTTGTTCCTGATGCATTGTGTCGATGTAAATTGAACTAGTGCTATGCAGTTGAACGAAAGCAACAATTTTAAATATTCTACTAAAATGTGGAAGTTGAAAATTTCTGACTCAACTTTTTGTCCAAATAGTAATTCTTTAAGTCGTTCAATCGGTTAATTATTTCAGCAAAGAATCACGTTGTTTGTCATTTCATTTGCTGCTGTACTGTTTGTCAATAATTCTGTCAGTCTATCATTGAAACCATAAAACATGTCATAGTAGTAAACTATTAGTAATATTAACCAGTAAGCAACACGATGATTTGATGATCGACTATCACATATTCCAGCTGGTGTCGCAAACGATGGACCAGGACCAAGGGCATCAGATGTCATTAATGCAGGCCAAGCAACTGGAAGAGAAGGGAAAGTTCAGAGAGGCAGAGAGGTTTCTAACGTTTCATCACCGTGATATGCCGCTATCATTGTCTATGTTGCATGTAAATGTGCCATCATCATCATTGTAAATATTGTAATTGATTCAAGCTGATTTCCAGATGCCAAAATTAAATTTTTATAAATTATATAGTATAACTTATTTTATCACCATGATAGTCACCATCATCATCATCGTCATCATGGTCATCTTCATCGTCATCATCATCATCGGACTGCAGGTTGTACATAGCGATAGAGTGCACAGATGATGCGATCAGCATGTACAAGCGTCATAAGATGTACGACGACATGATCAGGATGGTGAGGCAGCATCGGCCCAACCACCTCAAAGATACACATCTGTATCTGGCCAAGGTTTGTGAATCTGCTGAAGACGATGGTGAGGATGGTGGAGACGATGACGATAATGAGGACGATGATGATGATGAGGACGATGAGGATGATGATGATGATGAGGACGAGAATGATGATAATTATGTCGGTGGCATTAATCATGAGATTATTTTTTTGTAGAAATTAACATTATTATATTAAAAGGATAGAAGATGTTTGACGTTTAACTTTTGAAAAAAAAACTTTAAAATTGATTTTTGATTTGTCAAGTTCAAAGGCTTTTTTCATGCAATTTAAGACTTTTTTTTACAATGCTCATTTCAGGCTTTTAGCGATTTTTGTTTTTCTTTGCTGTTTCTACTGTTTAAAACCTTTCAACAAGATCCTTGAATCAGAGAATCGTCTGAAGTTAGCCGAACATCACTTGATAGAAGCCAGGGAAATCGACCTTGCCGTTCAATTGTACTCAAAAAATAACCAATACGAAGAAGCCTATAGAATAGCAAAAGGACACGGAGGCGTGGTTACTCAACAGAAGGTGGCTTATGATTGGTCCAAATGGCTAGGAGGGGATAGTGCTGTCAAACTATTGGTCAAGTTGAATATGTTTGAGGCTGTTATAGACTACGCTGTTAAATCCAGGTAGTGTTTCTTTGTGCTCTGCTTGTTTTCGTTCAACCAACATTGCTACTTTTTTTAAATTTAAACACCATTTGTGCTTGATGCGACTGTATAAAGTATTATTTTCAATTTCACTTTTATTACCTATTAATATTTCATTATTTGCTCCTGGCATGTGTTATTTTTACCTCATTTGAACTTTTGACCAGTCCGCCAGATTTTGAGTTGGCATTTGACCTAGCGAGAGGATCGAAGACGAGCAAGTCCCAGCAGGACATGCTGGCCTTTGTCAGCGAGAAGTACGCCGAACATCTCGAGGAAGCTGGAAGATTCAAGGAGGCTGAGGCCCAGTTCATCAAGGCTGGCATTCCTAAGAGTGCTGTTCTCATGTGGGTTGTCATGCTGATGTTGTGCTAGGGTGATGTTTTCATGATGACGTCACTCATGATGACGGGGGATAGGGAGAAGAAGGGGGAAGAAGAGGATAATTCTGATGGTGATGATGGTGTGATGAGGAGGACGATGATGGTGATGATGATGATGTGGCAGAGATGATGTTGTCGCTGGTCGTTACGGTGGCAGTGGTGGTGGCAGTGGTGGTTTTGGTAGAAGTGGTTGTAATTATGGTTAAGGGTGATGATGATGACGCCAACGTGGTTGTGAGAATAATTTCAATATGGTGAGAATCTTGGCTGTGCTGATGATGATGGATGTTGTTGGCTGCTATTATATTATTCATCATGTCGTAGTAGATTTATTTATTTGTTCATTCAATCACCTCTCATTGGATTACAAGATACATTGCAGTATCTATATTTATAACAAACAATTCCGTGTTAGAGTGAACGCTCGCTTCTCGCTTCATTCCGCTGCAGGTACGTCAGTTTGAAAGATTGGGATTCAGCGCAAAGGGTTGCCGAGCTGTACGATCGATCTTCCCTCAATGACGTAATGACCGCCCAAGGTCACGTGGCTTTTGAAAATAAAGAGTATCAGAAAGCTGAGTCTTTTTTTCTGAGAGCCCAACGACCCAACATCATCATTCAGTGCTACAAAGTTGTTGTTGTCATTTTTATTGTTGTTGTTGTTGTTGTTGTTGTTGTTGAAATGTTCATCAAGTGCATATCGTCAGATACATGTTTGTCGAACTTTGCATGTTTGAATACTTTTTGGAACTTTGTAGTGGTTTATTTTTATCTAAAAACGTCTGACACAAGTTAGGATTAATTTGTCAAAGTTAGTTTAATAAAGATCATTCATTCATTTCTACGTTATTTCTCAACTCTTGTTGTCCACTTTGTGTTGGCGGGTTAAAAGCGACCAGGTTTGAGTGCATGCATGCCCGCCTATCTCGTTCCTACGCATCGGTGTGTAATATGCTGGTTCACGCGTAATTTCATAAGTGCGTGTGTGTGTGTGTGCGTATGTGTGTGTGTGTTGTGTGTTTGATACATCTGATCTGAGTAGTCTAATTAATGAGAGAGAGAGAGAGAGAGAGAGAGAGAGAGAGAGAGAGAGAGAGAGAGAGAGAGAGAGAGAAAGTTGCTATCATTACCATATTAATTGTGAAATTGTGATTGATAATATATCTTGTTACTATTTCATTCATTTAACATTTTTCAACAATTTATCTATTTAGATACAAATGATTTTTTCATATTCAATGATGTTTAACGCATCCTCGTCATCATCGTCATCATTTCATCATCATCGTCATCCTCCTCCTCATCATCATCGTCATCCTCCTCCTCATCATCATCGTCATCCTCCTCATCATCATCGTTCTCATCACAGGAGCAAAACATGTGGGCGGATGCTTTAAGAGTATGCAAGGAGTACTTGCCCGCCATGTTGGATGACCTACAAAGCGAATATGAAACTAAGTCATCGGCAGGAACTGGAGCCGGGGGAAGCAGGTAGGAGAAGTCTGTTGTTTCAGTTTTGAAAAAAATAGAAAAAGAAATGGAAAAGAAATAGAAAAAATATGTTTATTCATTCATTTATAGAGAAAAAATGTTTATTCATTCATTATTCGTCTATATTTCATGAATCTTACTTTTAAATAGGTAGGTACCTGTAGTATTTATTAAAATTACAAAATTTTCATCCTCATCATTTTCATTTTTTTCTTAAACTTTTTTTTTCAAAATGTTTTTCAAACCATCCATCTCCGTTGTGGCCGAACAGAGCGATAGAAACGACGATACAGAAAGCCCAAGATTTTGAGACGAAGGGCGAATATGCAAGGGCGGTCAAATGTTACGTGGAAGTGACGTCACAAAATGAGGATGACGTAACCATCGTGGAAAAGTGCTACAGAAAGGTTAAGCTGCTTCGAATTATCATATAACATACAGACAGATAATTAATTGAATGGGCACACAATTTAATGGTTAATCATATGAACGAATAAATCGTTTGAAGTACAACAAGTTGGTAATAAATGATGATGGACTGTCAATTGAATTTGAAGTATGACAGACGAAGATTCCCTGGGTATATGAATTGAATATCTTTTTATAATAGCTTCACTCTGACTGAACACTGAGCATAAATTCGGATAGCCAACGTCCGTGTTTTATTGTTTGATGCATATATCAGAATGAATGTGTGTGTTTGTTTAGTGGCACGTCTGTTCTTGTTTATTGAATATTCATCTACTGTTTAATCCATTATTTAATTATGTATTTATCAAAAAAATAAATGCTATAGAAATAGATTCACTTCATTAAACAGGCCAGTCAGTTGGCTCTGAAGTTCCTCAGCCAGGAAAACGCAACGAGGGTTGTGGAGGTGGTGGGTCCCAGATTGGTGGAGATGAAGAGGTGCAACGCTGTTAGTGGATGGGGCGTCATTGTTGTGGTAGTTGTGGAATAAATATTTGTTGTGGGCGGTTATGACTCTTCAGATGATGGCTGGTTACTAGGTGACGATGATATAATAATGCCTACAATGGTGATGTGATATTTATGATGATGAATGATGAAATAATGTTGGTGTCAGGGTGATGTTGTCGCTGAAGATGGTGCTTGACGATGATGGCCACGGTAGGCTTATGATGATTACGATTAATTTTACTCACTTTGATGAGGAAAATAATATTTCTGCGATTTCATGATCATCGGATGGGATGTAGATAGTAAGAACTTTTGAACGGGTTAAGTTTGCGCTATTGGAAGATGTTTGCGAGTGTTTTCCACATTTCTTTAAGCATTTGGACAACGATGAAGAGAGACAAAGACAGATTGGACGCGTGTCAGAATGTTGGTTGGAATAAAATAGATTGAGTTGCTGGCATAAGGGGATCCTAAAAATCAGCTTTGAAATCAGAAAAATATAAAAAGTGGATTTTCGTCGGATATATTTGCAACTAGTTGTATTTCGATGTTGTATTTCGATATATATGATTAATGAAAAATGGTGAGGATGATGTTGATTTTTACGATATTTGCTCTGTCGACATACGCAGTTGTGATTACAATAAGCAAGAAAAAAATGATAGTAGCTGATTAGTTTGTACAATCATCAATTATGCATTGTCGGTACGACATGATTTAATTGCTGAGTTGTCTATTATTGATGCGGTCGAACAATAAGCTGGCTGGTTGTCATTTGGATAATATTTGAGATATGATTATTACTTTGTTGTCAAAACAATTCTAGTGTTAAAATTTTCATAGTCATCTAGATGGCAATGTTGATGATCTTGCTGATTTTAAGATTGAAGAAGGCCAGATAAGGCATAAAAGTCTTGTGAAGGCCAGCATAAAACACAGAAGATTGGTATAACAAGCCTATGAAAATATTTACAAAGTAAAAGTGTCATTTTCAAATACAACATTGATATTCAACTAGTAAAATTAAAACAAAGTCGAGCAGGCAACTTAGTAGATTTGTACAATTTTTTGAAAGTGTCAAATTAAAAAAACTTAGACAATTTTTTGAGAGTGACATATATGAATAAAGCATTAATATTTGACCAGTTAAATTAAAAGTTAAGTCGAACAAACAGCTAAGTAGGTACGAACAATTTTACGAAAGTGTCGTATTGAAATGAAACTTAGATATTCAATCACAGTTGTGAATACACGTGAATCAACGCATCGGACACTTTTGCATGTGGCAGGCGGGGATCTCTTAACATTCGAACCGGGTCACTGCATCAACATTGTCAGCACCTTAACCATTACACCATCGCCCACACGCATACACACAAAAACTCGCACACACAAACACAGATACATACACGCACGCACGCACGAACACGCAGGCAGCGGAATTGTACTTGCAAGCAGATCTGATAAGAGAGGCAGTGGACGCTTTCATGACAGGCGAGGAGTGGAACAAAGCTAGGAAGGTGGCCACCGAACTTGAACCCAGGTCAGTGAGATGGTGATGAGGATGATGCAGATGATGATGACAATGATGAGGACAATGATAATGATGGTGATGATGTGACGTTAATTGTTGTTGCAGCTTGGTCTACTTTGTGTTAACATACCATGCAAATCTTTTTTTTAGATTGTTGCCACACGTTGAAGAGAGGTATAAAAATTATTTGAAAGACAAAGATAAGCTGGATACTGTTAGTTGCCTGTTCAAGTTTTTTCGATTGTTTGTTTATGTTGTCTGTCTTGTATGTTTCGTCTATACTTTTGTTTGTGTTGTTTGTTTGTTGCTTATTTGTTTGTTTATTGCTTATTTGTTAAGATTTGTGGTTTGCTTGTTTATTGTTGTAAGTTTTCACTGTTTTCCATTAACTTTTACTATGCTTGTTGGTCACGGTCAGTCTTTACAACTGATCGCTCAATTAAGATATTTTGTATAAAAAGAAATCATTGTCAGCGTCTGTCTCTAACGAATGTTCTGTTTCGACAACCCAAGTTTATAGCTTTCATTTGCGGATTGCATCTTAGAACAAACTTTTGTTTATATGCACAGATCATCAATAAATTAAGAAACAGTTGTTATGATTTAAAACGAATTTTGATGTATTTAAAATTAGGTTTGAAATATTCGGGAGTTTAATTATTATACAGTTAAAACCACAATGAATTTGACAATGATTTGGAACGAATATGTTATAATTGTATGAGTTAGCACAGCATCAGTCTTTGATGATGACCTCTGTGATTACTTCTCGATGATTTATTCAGAAAATGAATCGAGCAGGCGTGTTTCGCGCTGGGCATTTTTGAAAATTTTTTTCGCTTGCAGTTGGAGAACGTGGACACAGAGGCAGCGATTGAGAGATACATAACGAAAGGTGATTGGATGAAAGCCATCAATCTAGCTGAGAAGAAGGTTAAATGTAGTCCTACGAACACAATTGCCGCTTATATATTTTTTTATTTATTCTGTACCGCGATCTTGTCATCATTTATAACGCACAGAATCCAAAAATGCTGCCGAAATACGTGGCACAATACGCAACTGTACTAATTAAGGAGAACAAAACGAAGAACGCTCTGACCCTGTATGAAAAGTACGGCACTCCTGCCATTCCGCAGGTTGGCCAACTAACTCACTCTGGCACTTTTTTAATTCTCTTTTTGTTATTTATTCACTTTACATTCATTTGTTCAATTTATTAATTTTTCTCTATTCTGTCTTTTCATTTCATTACCTGGTTGTTTTATTTGCTGTTAAATCGTCATCTTTTCATTATGGCATGTGTTGCATGAGCAGAAACGCAGATACCCACCCATACATGTGTTTGTATTGTAATTGCATCATGCACGCACGTGCACATGCACTGTGCATACACACACATGTATGAACACGCACACACGAACACACACACACGTGTGTGTGCGTGCGTGCGTGCGTGTGTGCATACAAGTTGGTGCGTGCATTGGAGTTTTTCAAAGAGTGAATCACACTAGCACACCTTGACGACCGTGCCACACGATTGAACAGGTCCATTAAGTAGATGGATGGTTTGACTGGAGTCTCGCTTGATTGATTGACGAATTAAATTAGTTTAGTTGCTTGATTGCTGTATTGATGGATTGATTGGTCGATCGATTGATAGCTCAAACAAATAACCGTCTCTCAGAACTTCAACATATACAAACGCATCTTCTACGACATGGTCAACCTGCCAAAAACAAACAACAGCGAATCATTCCAGATGTGGTCTCAACTTAGGAACATGTTTTACAACCTGGTTAACTCAACAATACACTATCCTTTCTAGTTTTTTTTTGTTAATTAATTTCCTATTAAACTCACAATTTCTAAAAAAGCAATCCTTTAAAAGTTAATATAAATACAACTGCTCTGATCATCTTACGTCAACAATTTTTGTAGAAAAAAAATTTGGACCAATCAAAAAATGCGGAATCAGATGAGTTTTACAACATGTTTCTAGCTGCTCATTACTACGCCACCAGATCGGCCTGCATTAATCATGATTCATTGGCCCAATTAACATGCAAATTATCTACGTCACTGCTACGTCACAGTGATTTGGTTCCCGCCGACAAGGCATTCTACGAAGCAGGAGTGGCTTCTAAAGTGAGTTTCAAACGAAACGTGCTTTTTTTAAGTTGAAATGATCAAAGATATCGGTGGCGGAAGGTTATAATACAATGGCGCTAAATTTAATGACGTCAATGTTGAATTAGGGTGATGGCAACTGTGAATGTTATTAAGATGCTAATTAGTTACACATCATGGTAATGAATAACAAATTGATATTTAATGATACAAAATAATTAAGAATGTTGGGAACGACAGTGCGGCTCTGGCATTCTTCAACAGGTTCTTGGACATGGTGGAGGTCAGTTGGCTTAGAGTGATTTTTAATGAATTGTTAATACTCAGTGTTGTGGTTCAGTCATGTTGTATGAACTGTTAATATCAGTTGTTTATAAATTTGTCACCCATAATTCAGTAGGGAAGCGTTTTCGAATTCCTGTTGAAATAATGAGGAAGTGTTGTACTGTGCAATAATAATTCACAAGGAGTGCTTGCTTCCTCGTGTAACTGGTCGAGAGATGGCAAATACTGATTGGCTGACGACTCTTTAGAGCAAGATACTTGTAGTCTCCAAAATTCATAGTCAGACGAAAGTCGGTCTCTATTCATCTAAAGCTTCATGAAATGCATCGCAGCAACGTTTCATGTTGTCTCCACCAATTAATATTCATATGTGCGTTTCATGTTGTTTACACCAATTAATATTCATATGTGTTGAGACGTTTGAAATAATTCACGCCCCCAGGCCATCGAGGACCAGTCGTTGGACGCCTTGGACCACTCCATATTCAGTGACACGGACATTCCCAGCGAGATCCCACTCCCAGAACGTCCCTACGTCTCCGTAAGCTGGAATGTTTGCCTCGATATCAATAAGCTTAAAAAAATTAATCGTGGATTTTCGTCATTACCGAGCAAATAGAGTTGAAAGCGAAATGAATGTTGTGAATGTTTTATAGAGGGCTAATTGTTGATTATTTGTGGTGCCATCCGTCAATTTGCCTCGTGCACCAGCACCATTACGACGGCAAACAAAATCCGAATAAAAAAAACTTAAAATAAAACCCATTAAAATGCTTTTCGCGCTTTTGTTCTCATTGAAAGCACTGTTGTCGTCATTCTTCCATCATCATCATCATTATCATCATCATCATCCTTTTCCTCCTCCTCCTCCTCATCATCATCTTGTTTAGGTGTAAAAAATTACAAATCGTCATCGTCTTCATCATCAATACCACCAGCAAATATTATCGTAGTCGTCATCATCATCATCACATGCATCATCATCATCATCATTTGCATCATCATCGTCATCATCACTTTCATCATCATCATCATTTGCATCATCATCGTCATCATCACTTTCATCATCATTTCATTCATCATCATCGTCACTTCACTAGCATGTCATCAGTAGCATCATCCTCTTTGTGTTGTATTG